AGGATGTCGTATGCTGTGTTTCGAATGACGTGAGCCTGGAGGTACAATACGATCTCACCGATGCGGAAGGGAACATTTCGAATGAGTCCCAGCGATCGGTCCACCTCGCCGTTCGCCGATTGCATGTTCAGCTGGATTGTAGGATCGAAGAGGAGGTTGAGGCCCAGACAGACCTCTTCCGACATGGCGATGATCTGCGAACCGGGGTCGACGATGCATTCGATCTGCTCTTTGTTGTCGACCAATGCGATGATCGAACGAATCGCGTTCGAATCGCGGGCAACAGTAAATTCCGCGGGGTGCTCGCCGTGAGGGATGTGCTTCAGATATGTTTCATAGGGGTCTGGGACGATTGTAGCACCGGGTTCCAATGTTGCACCTGAACACGAGAGCTGGTTGACGGCCGTGACCTCGTCGGCGCCGATTTCTACGATGTGGGCCGACGCGACGGGTTCCGTCGAGACTCGCTTAGGGGTGACGGCGTCGCGGTACTTGTTTCAAATGTTGGGCGCGATCGACAGCAACTCTTCTGGGGTCAGCGTGACGAACAGCGACTTCATCGAACGCTGGAAGATCTCCTCGGCGAGCTTCGGCTGGATAACGGGGACGATGGTCTTGTACGCTGGTTCCTTGCCCTTGTCGTTCGAGGGCTTCAGCGGAGTTGCGAAGTTTCGAACGTTCGGTGGGGCGTAGGTTGCGTCGCGAGTGTTTGCGAAGGGGTGTACTGGTGGTGCTGGAGGAGCGGACGTAGTAGTAGGTCGAGACGTGGATTGCGTAGGCAGGGAAGAAGACGGCGCGGGTGCTGCTGCTGGTATCGTTGGAGGCGGGGCCGTGCTTGTTGAAGTGCTCGAGGGTGCCGCCACCCCTCTCGATGTACCAGATCCCGAGGCTTCCGCGCTCTTCGGGACGGCTGGCGTCGTAGGCTTCTTCCGCTGTAGAATCTTGACGCCGTCGAAGACCTCCCTTCGCTTCCGTAGCTGAAGGAGTTCTCGCTCGAGCGCCTCGATCCTGCTGCTGGTGTTGAGCGTGAAGGTTTGCATAGTCGAGCGGTCGTCGATCTCGAAGAGCATCGTCGGAGCGGCGGGTGCTGCGGGATTTCTTCTATGCCACTCGTAGATTCGATCCCGTATCGTGAGACCAGGGATAGTGCGGGGGCAGAAGCTTCCGTTCGGAAGGACGATCTTTCCTTCGGTGTTACGCTTGCACTTGCCGTCCCGAATGTCGATCTCCGCGAACTCACAGGTGCCTACCCTGCAGCCATGATTGCCGCAGTAGTGGCACGTCTGTTCAACTCCGCTGTTCTCGTGGATGTGGACGGCAGCTTGTTGTCTCGGTGCGGGAGCGTGGTTGTGCGTAGCGTGTGTTGTCGGCTGGATGAGTGTTGCGATTGTCCTCGACAGGCTTTCGATGATCATCGAGATGTCTTCGGTTTTGATCATCCCGGGGGGCACCGTTGTCGAAGTGTTCGACGTCGAAGCGGTAGCTCGGTTAGCCACTGTCGTAGGTGTGCTCGATGTACCGTGTAAGATGAACGTAGCTGCCGCATGAATCTTTGCCATGGTATACGGGTCGTCGGCGTAGTGATCGGGGTGCTTGAGATGTAGTCGGGTCTCGAGTCGTGTGAGCAACGCTGGCTGGAATCCGCGAAGAAATGCGCGACTTTGCTCGATAGTGGAGAGACGGTGCTGTGCGATGAGATGTTTTGTGATGGCCATGAAGTCGCGGTAGTAGCAGCCTAGGTCTGCCGCGTTGTGAATCCCGATACGAGCGCGTTCTCCGATGAGCTGATCCATGTCTGCCAGCGACCACTTTCTTGTATCGTCGGCGCCAGGATAGAGTGCTCGTACGTCGGCTTTCCAGTCGTTGTAGCTCTTGGCTACGTCGATGAAGGACTCGATGGTTTCCCATAAGTCAGCAACGTCGATCGAAGGATACCGAACGGCCCACTGTTTCTTGGCTGCTTCGTCGGTAATCTGACACCGGGTGAACAATGCCTCGAGGTCCTGGAAGTAACGCCGAAGCGAATGGACTTCCGACGGGTCGAAGGTTGGTGCCGTCGAATGACCACGCGGGGGCATCAACGGTGCGGTCGTGTTCTGACTCATGTTTGTAGTGGTAGTAGGAGCTGGGCTCGAAGAGGACGTGGTAGTAGTCGAAGGAATCGTAGGAGCGGGCGGTGCGGGGTTGGAGTTCGAAGCTGCGTTTGAAGGTGTTAATGGTGGCGGAGGTGCCAGGTCGGATGTAGGTATGACTGGGAGTCGCGAAGAGGATGCGATGGGCGGTTGTGCGTGGGCGCGAAAAGACGATGGAGTCGGAAGTACGAGATTCAAAGTAGATGGGATGGGATACTCGGGTTCGGGCGAAGAACTGGATCGTTCGAAAAGATCAGGAGTCGAAAAGTCGTAGTTGGAAGTAGTGAGGCCTAGAAGCTCGGGGGACGAAGTGCGTTCTTCGGCGGTCGAAGGGATCGGTTCTTCGGCGGTCGAAGGGATCGGTTCTTCGTCGAAGTCGTCCTGGAGCTCTTGGTCTATCTCGTCTTCTTCATCGCGGTCGAAGTCACCGGGGATTGTTGGAGAGGGAGTCGGTTGCGTTCTAGAAGAGCTGTCGAGGTTCTCAGCGGCGCTGCGGCTAGCAGCCTCACGCGCTTGCGAGCGGGTGACTACTGGAGACGTTTTCGGAAACCCGAAAGAGGCGAATTCTTGCCTGAGATCCCCTCGCGGTGGGCTCCAGAAATGATACGACCTACGAAACCCTAACCCCTAACCTGGGTGCGACCTAAAGGGACTAGAGAGACGGCTTATAGTCTAATGAGAGGGGAGTTAGCAGCAAGGTGTCCCGCGGTTCGAGTGAACACGAGAAACGCCTTCGGAAAAGGCTACGAACGATGGGGAAGGTACGAGGTGGCTTCGACACATCGTCGAAGCTACTCGGAAGCTGTGGATAGTTAGCGGAGACGATCGAAGCTCGGCAGAGCTCTTCGATGTATCGTAGAGAGAGAAGAGACACTATTCGATAGGGGGGGACTTAGCTTAGTACGCGGTTCGAGGTGCAACGCAGTTCTTCGACAATAGTCGAAGTCGAAAGGTTCGTCGAGACGGTATCGACGAGTGAACGCAGTGGACGAGGTTTCGAGGTTACGCAGTGAGGAACGAAGTGACGCAGTTGAGGACGTAGACGCAGGGCGAACTCGACTTATGAGCTCTGAACTCGAGGGGGGGAACAGATCTTGTATTTCTGGAGAGAAGTACGACAGATTTTATACTACACAGGATGCTACGACTATTCGAGAGTGGCATACGAGTACAAGGGGCTTTGCATTGTTCCTCAAGAACCTGCCTCACCGAGAGGCACATACCAAGTCCATCGGTAGAGTGACGTCATGCCGAACGCGGAGATGAAGAGCAACATATGGCCACTTCGGACCGGTAGCCGTCGTGAAGGCATGCCGCGAGGTTCGATACCTAATCGGGAAAGACCGGCTACTTCGGTGTGGCTTGGAGCGAAGCGCGCGCTTGGCCAAGCGGCGTCAAGTGGCCCTATTGTTCGCCGAATGCGGAAGATGTTCCGAGATCTACGCACGAGGCATCGGGAAGACCGTGCCGAGCTTCGAGTAAGCGTCGCGCACCGTCGAAGGTGTCGAAGATCGTCGAAGGCGAAATCGACCTGTTGGGAGACTGGGTCGAAGTGCCGGGCGGGATGCGAGTGCCGAAAAGAGGTGTATCGGGGCCCAGCGGGGCTCGGCGCCTATCAACGGTTACTGCGAATGCTGCAGAATCGACCACTGGACGAGTCAGAGACTGGATTGGTCGCCTGACCTTAGACATAAGCAGGCACTACAATGGATACCTTCAGAGCCTTCTTCGAGAGGTGGAATCCCTGCATATCACGGTCCAGAATCAGCAGGCGCTAGTCGATTCCTACAAGCGACAAGTCGATGCGCTACCTGCGTCAACGGGTAGCGGTCATTCCCATCAACCTAAGATTGGGGAACCTCCGGCCTTCAAGGGCAGTGAGAATAAGACCAAGCTTGAGGAATGGCTGGACCTGATCGTACTGTGGTGCGAGCATGAGGGAGTGGCCACCGACAAACAGCAAATCGTCACGGTGCTCTCGAAGCTGCAAGGACCAGCTCATCAGTACATGAAGAGCTACTATGTGAAAATGTGGGAAGGAAAGGATCTGGGTACCTGGAAGGCATTTGTGGCGGAACTAGCCCAGATATATGGGCAACGCGATGACAAGGAGGGTGCAAAGAAGGAGATCACGGCACTGTTCATCAATAAGGATCTGGCCTCAAAGGACTTTGTGAAGTACGCTGAGAGGTTCCGCACCCTCGGACGTCTCACGGAGTATGACGATAGTCTCCTCATTGACAAACTCCGGGAGGTTATACCTCGTGACATGCGGTTGGTGTTGGCCGGAAAGGACGAGTCCACCTTGCCAAAGGATTGGACATTGTTCCTCAACATCTTGCTCAACATCAACAAGATTGTCAACCCGGAGAAGGCACGAGGCTTGGTATTCAAGAACAGTGGCTCGGATAATGGCGGCGCTGTTCCCATGGACATCGATTCGGCTGAAAAGTCGAAATCGAAGGGTAAAGGCAAAGGCAAGGCAAAGGACGCTGAGGCCGCCTCGACAGAGGCAAAGAAGTATTGCGTCATCTGCAAGTCGAAGACTCATAACACAGATGATTGCTACAAGTTGGCCAAAAATGCGGACAAGCGGCCGAATACCCAAAGGGATGGCGCTAAGAAGGCACAAGGAGGAAGCGGTAATCCTGCAGCCAAGAAGGCTAAGAAAACGCGGGTTATTCAAGTCGAGCTTACGGATAGCGAGGACGACACGCCCCTGTCCACAAAAGCCGTGAGCGCCAACACTGCGAGAATCAAGGAGATTGCAAATGTCGAGGAATCGACTCTGGCTGGGAAGGATGAACCCCAGCTATCTGCAAAGACAGAACCCACCGCATGTCGCGACTTAGGGTCGAGCGACAGGGGGAACACAGACTTTGAAGGATGCTGGGGGTGTTCGACTGATTCTTACCGAAGCGATGGTGAGCAAGGCTCAAACCTAAGGCTAGGGACAAGTGAATGTATTAGTTAGTAAGGTAAGAAAGGAATACAAATGAGGGCTTACTGACCTAGGGACAAGAGGTCGAAACTGAGGTCCCTAGGGCAGCAGAGGCCGGCTTATATACATGGGGAGATTAGGGCAGGCTGTGCACGTTGGTCCGTGCGCAGCTGGTCTGTGCGCAGCATGCCGACGCGGCCCTGGGGGCCGGTGAGTCAGAGCGGCTGCGTCAGCGGGGCCCGAGCTGTGCCGTGCGCTGCTGCCCCATCTAATCTAATCGTACAGTAGATAGTGACGCGTCCATATCAGGCAGGTAGTACAGAGGTCGCGGGTTCGAGCCCGCGAAAAGGAAAAAATTAAAAAACGGCTAGGCGCCGTACCAAGTCGTGACAGCTAGATGCCATGCCAACTCGTGACATTACCCCCCCTCAACGTCGCATGACCTCATGCGAGGCGCCCTTGCCCATCTCCCATCCGGAGCGGCAACGTGCTTCAGTCAGCGGCGAAGGCATTGGCTGAAAGTTGAGACTACCAAAGGTAGCGGCATTGAGACGGCGAGGGGTGTTCGGATTCTTCTGGTGGAAGTTGGCTACGAGGGCCGGCGCATTAGCAACATTGCGCGCTGGTTCCCATGACGTATGCGAGTCGTCATAACCCTTCCACTTGACGAGGTACTGCAGTTGACGCCGGAAGATTTGCGAATCCTTGATCCGCTCAACCTCGTACTCCTCGTCACCCTCAACCTCGATCGCAGGCGGCTCCTCCGGCTCCCGGCCCGGGATATCGCTACATGTGTACTTGCTAAGCAAGGAGACATGGAACACCGGGTGCACAGGCACCGATTTCGGCAGGATTAATTCATAATCCAAGTCTCCGAGCTTTCGCCGCACGGCATACGGTCCAAGGCACTTGGGACTGAGCTTCTTGCTCGGCTGTTTCAGCTTAAGGTTCCGAGCGTCAAGCCAGACCTTGTCCCCCGGCGCAAAGACCGGTGCCTCCTGCACGTGCTTATCGTAGTACACTTTCATGCGCTCGGCTGACAGCTCGAGCGCAGAGCGCGCGTCATCGCGAATCTCCTTCAGGATCTTAAGGCGGTCAGTGGCAGTGGGCATCGCGGACATCAGATTGATCCGAACCTGGATCTCAGGATGGTACCCTTGATGCAGGAAGAAAGGGGAGTGCCCGGTCGCGGAGTGAACTCGGTTGTTCAGTGCAAACTCCGCGAGCGGCAACTGCTTCGCCCAATCATCCTGCTGGTGGCTCGTGAAAGCACGCAGGTACTGCTCGATCTCCTGATTCCAGCGCTCAGTCTGGCCGTCCGTCTGAGGGTGGAACGCTGTAGACAGCGCCGGCTCGATCCCTAGTCCCTTGTACACCACATGGAGATATTTCGAAGTGCACTGGGGGCCTCGGTCCGATATGACCTTGGCCGGGGCCCCATGATGCTTGAACACATCGCGGATGTACAGGTCGGCCGCGCCTTCTGCCGTCAGGGTCTCATGACAGGCTGAGAAGTGGACCTGCTTGGTAAAGCGGTCGGCGGTGACCAGGATCGAGTCGAACCCATCCGACTTCGGCAAGCCAACGATCATATCCGTGGTGATGATCTGCCATGGGTGCTCGGGGATCTCATTCGGCTTCAGCGGACCCTGGGGCTTGGCTGGGAATGTCTTGGTACGGTTGCACACGTCGCAGGTGCTTACGTACTCATTGACGAATTTAGACATCCCAGGCCACCAGTAATTCCGCGACACGAGCTCCAGGGTTTTGGCACGACCACCATGACCGGCGATCGGCGAGTCGTGGTGGATCTTAACGATATCCCGCCGGAGCTCTGTGTTCTTTGGGACGTACATGCACCTGCGGAACAGCAGGAGCCCTTGTTCGGCATTCCACTCCTCAAAGCCCCTTTGAAGCCGGGGCGGCCCGAGGTCCTGTACTTTTTCAAGTGCCTCGGCCACTACACGATCCCTCTCTGAACATTCCCTGATGCGCTTCAGAAGCGACTGATCAGCTGTCACTGAGGCATGACCGCGCCTGGCAGAGGCGATGCGGAAGCGCTCTGGCTTGAGAACCACCTGATCGGTGTTATCATCCTCATCGCCGATCTGATGGTCTGATCGACGTGACAGGGCATCAGCCTTTCCATTCGACGTCCCAGCCTTGTGCGTGATGCGGAAGTCAAAGCGAGCCAGGAAGAGTGACCATTGTGCTTGACGATGCGTGAGGTGCTGGGATGTACGCCAGTACTCGAGGTTCTTATGGTCGGTTACGATCTCGAACTGATTGGGTAGTCCCTCGAGGTAATGGCACCAATCATCCAGTGCTTCAATGATCGCGAGCATCTCCTTATTGTAGATCTCGTAGTTACGCTGGGCTGGGTCCATAGCATGAGATCGGAATGCAATTGGATGCCACTTGCCATCATCCTGCTTCTGCATCAACACGCCACCAGTGGCGTAGCCCAAGGCATCAACCTCAATGCGCGTCTCTCGATTTGGGTCATACAGCGCCAAGACCGGTGTGGTAGCGAAGAGGCGCTTGAGCTCATCAAAGGTGTGTTGTTCTTCCTCGCCCCAATGCCATGGGTCATTCCCTGTGAGTCGGTCAAGTGGTTGCGAGATCTTGGCGAAGTCCTTAATGAAGCGGCGGTAGAAGTTGGAGAACCCCCGGAACTTCTGAACATCTTTCTTGTTCCGGGGTACCGGCCACTCATTGATTTCTTTTAGCTTCGCGGGATCCATCGCTACCTCATCGCCACCAAACACATAGCCGATGTAGTCAACTTTGGGAACATCCCATTCACACTTCTCAGGCTTCAGGAATAGATCATTATCCTGGAGGCGATGGAGGACCTCGCGTGTGACCTTCTCATGCTCCCTTTTGTTGGTGGAGAAGATGAGTATGTCATCTAGGTACACAAGGATCTTTCCGCCGACAATGAGATCGTGGAAGATCTCGTTCATCATTGCCTGGAAAGTGGCGGGGGAGTTGGTGAGGCCGAAGAACATCACCAGGGGTTCGTACAGCCCCCGGTTAGTCACGAAGGCGGCTTTCCATTCATCACCGGCCTTGATTCGGACGTTATTGTATCCCCATCAGACGTCGAACTTTGTGAAGAGCGTGGCACCACGGAGTTTGTCCACCATTTCGGCGATCAACGGCAGGGGGTAACGATTTTTGACCGTGATCGCGTTTAACCGGCGGTAGTCCTGTACGGGTCGAAGTGTTCCTTCCTTCTTTTTGATGAAGAAGAAGGGGGACGAGATTGGCGACTTCGACTCCCGTATGTAGCCTTTCGCTAACTGCTCCTTCAGGAACTTGTCAAGTTCCTCCTGTTCATTATTCGACAGGGGGTACACCTTCGAATGGAATGTCGAATAGCCAGGCACGAGTTCGATCACATGATCGTATGGCTTCCTTTCGGGTAGCCGTTCTGATGCTTCCTTTGAGAAGACCTTCAGAAACTCGTGGTACTGTTTAGGTACCGACTCCTCGGTGGTCTTAACGACCTTCTTTTTGATCTCCTCTTCAGCGAACAGCTGGGAATACGTGTGCCCTGCTTCAACGAACAGCTGAGGAGTGCCGGGAAGTGTGATACCTTGCTCCCAGGCTTCGATCAAATCGGCCTCATCCCACTCTACTTCCGCCGGATCTTCTTCAGGTTCGAAGTCCGGGAGTACCTTACTCCAGCAAGCACCTATGACCGACCGTCTGGACTTCTGCGAGCGTCTGCGCGCCGTGGGCCTGACCCCCGTATCACGCGCAGTCGTTGCTTGCTCCATTTGGCCAGTCTTCCTGGCACTGCACGTCTCAGGACATCGTGATAATTTCAGGGAGCCTGACTCCCAATCGATTTCGGGGTTGTGCTCTCGCAGCCAATCCAACCCAACGATCACATCTTCTGGACCTATGTCCGTGACCGTGAACACCGTCTTTTTGACGTGCTCTCCTATCTGCATCTGTAGCACGGCTACCTCCGAGATGCTTCCGTCTTTATTGAGTGTTCCATCGATATTGTACAGCGGAATTGGTTCTTTCAATTTCCGCGTTCGTACTCGATTCTCCATGATGAAACGCTTGTTGATGAACTTCGTGGTGGCTCCACTGTCCACCATTGCGACTATATCCTTGTGCCGTCTTTCTCCTTTAAGGCGCACCGGGATGTGGAAATGCTGGGACCCATGGTCCAACTCGTACACATTTGCGGTTGCCAATACATTGTACAGATTATTACTACGCGGTCCGACGCGTGCGGCACGAAGCGCGGACCGGATCAAAAAGACTCTTCTTTGAGCGCTCGATAGTGCTCCAACTCCTCGCGCATCGACTTCATCTGTGCTATTAAGTCCGCCAGCTCGGAACTTTCCGATTTCGCTGAAGCGGCGCTTATACTCGCCGAGGATGAAGCGACGGGGGTGCTTGTCGCCGCCTGGGTGGAACCCGAGGCAACCGTAGCCCGCGCGTCGGCGCGTTTTGTGTAAGGTTTATCCTTACAATTAGGGCACTCAAAACGACGGTACCCTTGCTTCCCGCAGCCAAAGCATGTGCCGGGAAAGTCTCCTTTTCCGACGGCCGCATTGATGCTGGCCGAAGCTGCGTGTGACGAGGGTGCACCACCACGTGCCCCACCGCGACCTCGACCTCGGGCCGAGAAGAAGTTGTTCAGCTCGGGCCGACGGGCCCGGCTGATGTCGAGGATCTGCTCGACCTCAGTGGCTCGCTTTTCAGCGGCTCGCCACGTGGTGAAGGTCTCGAGCTCGATCTTGCGATATACGCGGGAGGGGATACCGCTCAGGTACTTGTCGCGTAGTTCCAGGTCCCCATACCTGGAACGGTCCGCCGGACCCTTGAACAGCGTGGAGAACTCCGCCGCAGTGCGTTTTTTGCGGACCGACTTGTCCACGCAGAGCTTCGCCAGCTCTACCTGGGCTGCTGCCGCATCGTCGAGATTGCCGAAGCAAGCCTTGAAGGCAGCGGTGAAGGCCGCTTCGTTCCTGAAGGGGGTTGTAACCCCTTGCACACCCATCTGCACTGATGCGAGTTGGGCGAAGTAAGGCGTGGCCCAGGCGCGGGCGTCGCCATCGAGCAGGCTTAGCGCAACTTGTACCTTAAGCTCAATGGTCGTCAATGACGTGTTGATCAACCAGTGAATACGAAGTTGCGACAAGAACCTGTCGCATTCGATGATGGTTTTGCCGTCATAGCGGAGGGGGAGGAGGAGCTTCAGGGTCTCCTTGTCGGGGGCGGCTGCAGGGGACGACATTATCGGCGTCGGGGGGGACGGAGGACGTTGCGGGGGCGGAGGCGGCTGTGGTGGCCTTCCGCTGGCCGAACTTCGAGAGGAGCGAGTGCTCGAGCGGCCTCTCGGCGGAGTCGGCGGTGAAGGCGCCGGAGAAAGTTCGGTGGGGGGGTCACGTACGTCAGGGACTGCTGACGCGGAGGTGAGCGCTGTCAGCAAGGCGGGCCGAGCAGGATCCGCGGACTCGGACTCCGAAACTCCTTCTTCACTCATATTCTTCTCAGGCTCAGGCTCTGGCGCAGGGTCTGGAGGGAGATCTCCTCGCGCTTGACTTGGACCGGCGACAGTTTGAGGGAGTCGGGAGCTGGGGGAGATTGGGGGAGAGTGCCGCGAGGCAGATCGAGACACGAGGGTGCTGCAGGGCCCGAGCGGGTGTTGAGCCCTTCTGATTGCCTTGTAGCATGGGTAATCCTGCTCAATCGATCGGGGTGTCCAATTAGGGCACGGCTGCTGCTCACAGGTGAGGATGAGGGTGTCAGGACCGTCTGGGATGTAGACGTCGACAAAGTCCTGAGAGTCGAATGCGTGAACTTGGCCTTGACAGGCAGTGAAACATTTGTCTTTCCGTTCTATTCCTTGTACTACTAGCACCCATACTGGTGCCTGTCTTAGCGCTCACCCGCAGGTTGAACATTATGTAGCTTACATAATGGGGTCCGTGCGCACTTCGTGTCTGGTATCGTACCACTACGTTTCTTTCTTCACTAACATGACCACATAGACACGATGGTCCGTGCGCAGTCAGTACTTGTATAAGTAGTTGTACCATTAGTCGGTCAAACCCTAAGTTCGACCTGGTTATTCATTCAAGTCTCTGCTCCTCTTTACTTGGAGTAGTGGTCATTCTCGACTTCTTTGCTCGATCTTCAGGACGACGCACTGTCCATAAGTCCTCGCTCGTCGTCTACGAGTCAGGCATCGATATAGGAGTATAGACCGTTGTATCAAAAGGTCGAACTTTCTAAGCTACGTTCCTAGTTTTACCTAGTCCAACATCTCATCCACCATCACGTCGAACAACGCAGTCAACCCGGTTCCCTTGGGACTACCAGCCCTCGCAGGATCTCCCCTTCTCCAGTACGACCGAGCAGACCGTTGCTTCGTCACCACCACAAGAAGGACTCCCATCTATCCTCGAGGCGGCTCCTGGGTTTGTGCAGAAGGCTCCAACCCGCAGATCGTCGCCCATCAACAGCTTGTCAGCTATTACCAGAGACACCCTCCCGCTCACCCAGAAGACGTATTTGCCACCCTACGAATCAACGTCGAACCAGCACAAACAACAGAGAACCTACAGTCACCTGTTAACGAACAACCGTTTGAGCTCCCGGACGTTCAGTACGTTTCCATCGAGGCTCCAGAACTACCACCAGCTCCACCTGCACCAACCAACGCACCGGTTGAAGTCCCTATGGCAACGTTCACTCAAGCAGACATCGATCAGCGCATCGCTGTTGCCCTCGCAGCATACCAATCCCAACAGTCAACTGCCAACCGACCCCTTCGCCTTGACATCCCCGCTCCCGAACCTTTCAGCAGAAAGGCGGAGGACCTCAGACGCTTCATCCAATGCATCCTCTCCTACTTCGTCGCAACCAACAACACCAGACTTAGCGATGAAGCAAAGATTGCCTTCACTGTAGCGTTGATGAGGAAGGACCTAGGGAAGACATGGGCAGACGCATACTACGAGAAGTCGGCAGGGGGAGTCCAGGTCTATGCTGATTGGGCAGCCTTCGCCACCACCCTTGAGGAAGCGTTTCCTGAGCACGGAACGCGAATCAAGGCGCACCAAATCCTGATGAAGCTGCCCGAACGACAGAAGAACAAGAAGACGGTGCTCTCCCTTGGAAACTACGTCACCCGCTTCGAGCAGCTAGCGTCGAAAGCCCAGCTCAAGGACGCCGAAGTCAATGGCGTCAATCGCACCGAGAACGACTACCACACTCTCCACGCCAACTTCGTCAAAGGACTTCCAAAGGAGCTCTACGTCTCTCTCGCAACCAGGGGCGCTAGAGACCGACCCAGCACCATGAAAGCCTAGTACGACGAAGTCCGAAACGCCGACACCGCCGAACAAGGGGCCCTCACCGTCACAGACACCAGAGACTACGGCGAGCCAATGGATATCGACGCCGCTGCAGTCGTGGCAACCTTTGCCCCCACATCGGGAGGAAGGAAGTGGGAACTAGGAGCAGTTCTCAACGAGGCCGACCGGTGATAGGTGCCAAGCCCCTCTGGGCCCCGATTCACCTCTTTTCGGCAGTCGCATCTCACCCAACACTTCGATTTCGCCTTCGACGCTCTTCGACATCTTCGACGGTGCGCGACGCTTACTCGAAGATCGGCACGGTCGTCCCAATGCCTCGTGCGTAGATCTCGGAACATCTTCCGCATTCGGCGAACAATAGGGCCACTTGACGCCGCTCGGCCAAGCGCGTGCTTCGCTCCAAGCCACACCGAAGTAGCCAGTCTTTCCCGATTAGGTATCAAACCTCGCGGCATGCCTTCACGACGGCTACCGGTCCGAAGTGGCCATATGTTGCCCTTCATCTCCGCGTTCGGCATGACGTCACTCTACTGATGGACTTGGTATGTGCCCCTCGGTGAGGCAGGTTCTTGAGGAACAATGCAAAGCCCCTTGTACTCGTATGCCACTCTCGAATAGTCGTAGCATCCTGTGTAGTATAAAATCTGTCGTACTTCTCCCCAAAAATACAAGATCCGGTTCCCCCCTCGAGTTCAGAGCTCATAAGTCGAGTTCACCCCGCGTCTAAGCTTTCAACTGCGTCACTTTGTCCCTCACTGCGTAACCTCGAAACCTCGTCCACTATGTTCACTCGTCGATACTGTCTCAACGAACCCTTCGACTTTGACTACTGTTGAAGAAACTGTGAACTGTGTCCTAGCTAAGTCCCCCCTATCGGATTGTCTCTTTCTTCTACGATTCTTCGAAGCGCTCTCCCGAGCTTCGATCGTCTCCACTAACCATCCACAGCCTCCGAGTAGCTTCGATGACGTGTCGAAGCCACCTCGTAGCTTCCCCATTGTTCGTAGCCTTTTTCCGAAGGCGTTTCTCGTGTTCACTCGAACTGCGGGACACCTTGCTGCTAACTCCCCTCTCATTAGACTATAATCCGTCTCTCTAGTCCCTTTAGGTCGCACCCAGGTTAGGGGTTAGGGTTTCGTAGGTCGTATCACCGGAAGCTCCACAGGGACGGAAACCTGTGCTTCTACTGCCACATCAAGGGCCACAGCGCCAAGGATTGCTGCAAGAAAGCGGCCGCACGACAAGGGGGTGGAAGGCCGAACCAGGGAGGATCTGGGAAGGACGACTTCCGTGCCAGAATCAAGACACTCTCCGCCAACGAGAAGTGGGAGCTGTACGAAGAACTTACGATGGAGGATTTTTGAAGGGGCAGGGTGAGCCGACGCAACCACTGCCCGTATCCGTTTCACTGTTCCGTGTAATTCTAGTAGTCCGAAATGAACGCGCTCTGCACATTCCGATTACTGTGGGACGAAAAGACGTCGAGGCGCGCGCTTTCATTGATAGCAGCGCAACAGGAATCTTCATCAGCCCGAGATTCGTCCGAGAACATCGACTTCGGACAGAACCCCTTCCCTGACCCATCCCCGTCTTCAACGTGGATGGAACCCCGAACAAAGAAGCACTCATCACGCGAAGAGCTCTCTTATCCTACAAGATAAGCGGAGAACCCCGATTCGTCAAAGCCTACATCGCCAGCATCGGCAAGGAAGACATCATCTTCGGCCATACCTGGCTCAAACTCGAAAACCCCAAGATAGACTGGAAGACCGGACGAGTGGAGCTGAACCACCGGTGGACGAAAGACGAGACAACGGCCTGGAAGATGGACCTGTACCAAAGGCGAGTGGCTCGGCTAGAACTAAAGAAGGCCGTAACTACCCCACTCCCAGAACCAACGAAGGATGAATTCGTCGTCATCCCCACCTCAGAGCACGCAACCCTTCCCGAACGAAAGACTAGCGGTGCAGCAGGATACGACATCTCTGCTGCGCATCAACTCATCATCCCTGCCCGACGACGAGGCCTGGTCGGCACTGACCTTATCATGGCTATCCCCGAAGGACACTACAGAAGAATCGCACCCCGGTCCGGTCTAGCGCTAAAAGAAATTGACGTTGCTGCAGGAGTAATCGGCTCCGATTACCGAGGCAAGGTCTCAGTCCTGCTGGTCAATAACTCTGACCTCCCATTCACCGTCAAAGCCGGCAACCGAATTGCCCAGCTCATCCTTGAAAGGATAAGCACTCCACCAGTAACGCTAACCGACTGCATCGACGAGTCTGAACGCGGGGAGGATGGGTTTGGGTCAACGGGTATTGCGTCCATCGAGGAACAAGCGGAGGACATCGACGATGATGAGTTCATCATTTCCTACTTATCTGGAACACCGATGATCACCAAGTACGAGAAACAGGAACCCCTGGCAGTGAGGGATGTTCCGCTCAAGGAGCGACTCCCTGAACCCTCATCTGGCTACAAACGACTTCACAACGGCATGATCTGGAAGGTCCACCACGACATTAGGCGCGTCACCACTTCCACCGAACTTGCAGCCTCGAATGCCCAAGGCAAGACAGAAAAAACGCTACCGCAAATGGTATCATCCTACCTACACGATCTCCTCCCCGTCTTCGACAAAGCCACGGCTGCGCGACTTCCAGACCACACCGAATATGACCACAAAATCAACCTCAAGGAGGGCTTCGCGGACATGAAGCAACAGGTCTATCCGCTCAACCCACAGCAACGAAAGGAACTCGACAAGTTCCTCGAGGAGAACCTGAGTAAAGGGTACATTTGCCCTTCGAAATCCCCGTTGGTGAGTCCATTCTTCTTTGTGGGTAAAAAGGACGGTTCACTACGTCCCTGTCAAGACTACCGGCTGCTCAACGAGAACACGGTCAAGGATCGATACCCGCTCCCGCTTATATCCGACCTCCTGGACAAGTTGAAGCACACCAAGATGTTCACGAAGATGGATCTCCGCGCCGGATACAACAATGTTTGAATCAAGAAAGGGGATGAATGGAAGGCAGCGTTCATCGTACCCGGAACTGATGGCAAACCGCTGCAGCTATACGAACCAACGGTGATGTTCTTTGGGCTGTGTAATTCTCCCGCTACGTTCCAGCGGATGATGAACACAATATTCGCAAACATGCTTCAAGAGGGCTGGCTCTGCATTTACATGGACGACATCCTGATCTTTTCCCAGGACAAGGCAGAACACGAGGAACGAACACGACGCGTTATCGAACGACTTCGACAACACGACCTCTACCTCAAACCGGAGAAATGCGCCTTCGACGTCACCGAAGTCGAATTCCTCGGCATGATCATCCATCCAGGAGAAATCGCAATGGACCCTGTTAAACTAGCTGGCATTGCGGATTGGCCGGTGCCGTCCAACCTCAGGCAAGTACGCGCCTTCGTTGGATTTGGAAACTTTTACCGCCGGTTTATCAAAGGCTTCTCGGACAAAGCGCAACCACTGGTTGCTCTCACCCGGAAGGACGTCGCCTGGACCTGGGGATCTGACCAACAGAAAGCCTGTGAGACCCTCAAAAAGGCGTTCCTAGAGGAACCGGTACTACGTATGCCGGATCCTGACCGACCCTTCGCCATCGAAACCGATGCCTCAAAGTTTGCCACCGGAGCGGTGCTACGCCAACGTGATGATAACGGCGACTGGCATCCTTGCGGATACCTCTCTCAAAGCTTCAATGCGGCAGAGAGAAACTACGACATCTACGACAGAGAGTTATATGCGGTTATCCGTGCACTAGATGAGTGGAGGCACTACCTCATCGGCAGCCCATACCCAGTGACGATTCTCAGCGACCACAAGAACCTCACGTATTGGAAACAAGCCAAAGACATGAACCGACGACAAGCACGCTGGGCGAGTAAACTGACCGAGTTTGACTTCCGCCTGGTGCACGTTCCTGGTACCCAAATGGTGCAGAGCGACGCTCTCTCCCGCCGACCCGACCATGATGACGGCTCAAATGACAACACTGATGTCGTTATGCTTCCACCGGAAGTATGGGTCGCTGCCATCGACATCGACACCCGCGACACCATCCTTTCTTTCAAAGACGACCCAATAATGAAGGAAGGACTCACTGCAGCGTGCACCGGAGGAACACCACGCACTGGAACAGACTGGTCCATCAATGATGACCTCCTCTTATACCAGGATTGGGTCTATGTACCCCCAGATGAGTCCCTTCGCAAACGTCTTGTCTCCCACTATCACAACCTCCCCTCCGTAGGACACCCCGGTGTTCAGAAAACCCTCCTCGGTTTACGCTGTGACTACTGGTGGCCGAGCATGGCCCAGTTTGTCGCTTGCTATGTTAACGGCTGTGGCATCTGCCAACAAATGAAGGTTAACACACATCCAGCCCAACCGCCCATCACCCCCATTCGACCCCACGCAAATGCCAAGCCCTTCAGCACATTCTCGTGCGATTACATTACCGACTTGCCACCGTCCAATGGCTTTGATTCCATTTTGGTCGTAGTGGACCACGACCTTACGAAGGGGGTAATTTTCATCCCATGCAACAAAACAATTGACGCTCTTGGGACAGCAGATGCAATGTACCGAGAGGTCTACAAGTGGTTTGGACTCCCAGACAAGATCATCAGTGACTGAGGACCGCAATTTGCGTCCAAAGTCTTCCAAGAACTGTGCAAAATGACTGGAGTTCAATCAGCCATGAGTACTGTCATGACTTGGTACGGCGTCTAGCCGTTTTTTAATTTTTCCTTTTCGCGGGCTCGAACCCGCGACCTCTGTACTACTTGCCCGATATGGACGCGTCACTATCTACTGTACGATTAGATTAGATAGGGCGGCAGCGCACGGCACAGCTCGGGCTCTGCTGACACAGCCGCTCTGACTCACCGGCCCCCGGGGCCGCGTCGGCATGCTGCGCACAGACCAGCTGCGCACGGACCAACGTGCACAGCCTGCCCTAATCTCCCCATGTATATAAGCCGGCCTCTGCTGCCCTAGGGACCTCAGTTTCGACCTCTTGTCCCTAGGTCAGTAAGCCCCTCATGTATTCTCTTTCCTACTTAACTAACTAATACATTTCTTGTCCCTAGCCTTAGGTTTGAGCACTGCTCACCATCGCTTCGGTGAGATTTAGTCGGACGCCCCCAGCGTTTCAGAT